ACTACCCCCATCGCGGCTTTTAGAATCGAATGTAATAGTTTGGCTTAGTAACAAATAGCGTCAGCGTACACACATATGTGTTGAAACAGCCCAAGGACCAACACACATACGGAATCCCTCTCGGGTCAGTCGAAAGTAGTTCAAGATCGCTTAGTTGTGCCAAACTCGCTCAGGACCAAAGGAAAGCTGATCTCAACTGCGCGTCTTCAAAAGCCAATGCATCACCGCACAACCAAGCAACCCCACCGACTCCTCATAGGAGTCGGTCACGTGACGCAACCTGAGGGCTTTACTCTTTTGACCTAAACTGAACCCATAGGTGCTTCTCCAGGCGAGATTTTTCGTGAGTTTTGCAAGATTGGTCATGTCGGATGCATGGCTCTTCCCGTAAGTTATTGATTGACAAAATAGAAACCGATTGGCATAGGATATGTTGGATTTTATTTCACGTGTCTATGACCCAAAAGAAATGAAGAAGTATGAAACCCAACCAGGGACTGCGCTCAGAAGCCGAGACACTGCAAAAGTGCGCGACAAGGGCACCAAGACTTTGCCTTGCACGCTGCCGGCGCTGCCAGCCTATCAATCGCGGCATGAGGGACGTTTGCACCTTCTCGCGTTTTCCCTCTCCTCACAGCGCTGGGTCTCTCCATCATCCCAGGCCGACCTCACAAGGGAAAGTTTTCTATAGCGCTTTTGCTTTTTCTCCTCACACACGTTTTCCATCGCACTTATTGTCTGATTTTCGAACAAAAATGCACACCGATTCGATCTCGACCGAGGCCTTTAGGGCCTCTGAAGAAGTGCTGCTTACTTGAATTGAGGTGGGCATTCCGATGTGACATCGACGATTGCTCGTGCTAGCTGAATGGCACCTTCTCCGCCTTGCGACCAGTGGCTCGATGATACCGCTCGTTTGGCTCCGTACAAGAGTGCCTAACAGAGCATTACGCAGGTCACAAATAATACAACATCTAGATTGGATTTCACCTTTTCTATAACCGTTTCGAGCTCGCGATCTGTGTCAGTTGCGAATTTGTTTACGCAAAGCACGACTGGTACACCAAACTTGTTGGCATTCTCAATCTGAATGAATTTCCTGAGCTTCGTGACGAGCTGAGAGACTTCTCATTGATCTTGCCTGTTTTCTCAGATTAGAATCACAGCCTTTCTCAACAAGCCCGAGGTTCTCGTCTAGATATTCGTGCTTTAGCGGACTGCCGGCTACCACCGGTGGACCACCGCCGTGCATTTTCAAGGCTCGAACGGTAGCCACCAAGACCACCGCTGATGGCTGCAGCCCAGAGTATCTGAAATCAAGTTGTACGGCAATGCCCATCAATTGCTGAAAGCTCTCAAAAATTGAATTTTCGACAACTTACCTGCACTTAATGTTGAAGAACTTTTCCATACCAATGTCGGCACCGAATCCAGCTTCAGTGATGACATAGCCGTCCTCACCGACAAGCTTGAGAGCAACCTGAAATGAAAGTCTTGGAAATAGGGTTTCTGCCAACTGAGGTGTAAGGTACATATAGGTGAAATCGCACCGCTGAGAATCGATGTAAGCAACCAAAGAAGCGAAGGAAACCGTCGATAAAGCCCAAAACAAAGTCTCTTTGAGGAAGGAAAGAGCAGGCCAAACGAGTTCTATGGGCTCGCCTGCTTCACGACTACACTAACTCGCGCGTGCTTGAATTGGCCTCTACGCCGTTTGATCCCACGTTGCGTGATCATGTGGTGTGCGGCTGCGTAACTCGTCCAAATGTTGAGATTGGTCGCCAAATGGCTCTGTAAGATCTAGCGCCATTGTTGCGCACTTTCCGACGCGATAACGGAACATCTGTATTACTCGTGGACTACTCTATCCCACTCAGTCAATAGATTTTTTGACACGACTTTCTGCTGGAGGGGTTGCTTTGAAGGCACAACCCAGGCAGAGTTCTTGTGGCGGCAAGGAAATGGTCCCAGTTTCTTGGTTTTGAGCCGTCTCTCATGGTTTTTCCTTCTTTAGGTACCACTCACTCTCGCTAAGTTAATTTGAAATGGGTTGCCTTCCTAGCGTGAATTTGTCCTTTGAGGCAGACCTGTGCCCATAACTGTGCACTCTTTTAGAAAATTTGTATTTAAGATTTCTCCTGCACTCCTACTCAATTAACAGTGAAGCGATGCTCAGTTATACGCTCATCTCCGAAATCACCTTTTGTGGGGCAGCACTACTGCTGTTCGTGCAAGTCTAAGTTTGATTCTCGAGATAGGCTAAACGTTCCTTTCATAACTGGCCATCCATATAATGGCTACAAGTTCGGTTTTCAAGGTGTCACTACTATCCAGCAAGTTTTTCTCCTCTTTTCAGAATGGTTGCTGTTTGATATCCGGATGGAATGTGACGGCATGCAAGAGGACCTGCGGAAAGTTATTTACAAGGTTTTAGTGTATGATCCGCCCGTGTGTGATCCGCCTATTATTAGGCTAACAATACTCATGCACATGTCATATTTCGCCCATTTCAACATCGTCGATGTTCTGCAAGGGGCGCTAATGGACAAACTGCGAACTTCGAAGTGTTTTGAATAGGGGTCATTGTTTGGTTTCAGACACAACAACAAGCGACAGCTACGCCACAATTTTAGGGCTGTTTGCATGTTTTTAAGTAAGTATCGGATAGTGGCGGTCCACAAAGGCACTAATGGCATTGAACTCAAAGGCGCATTCCATGACACTCGAATAAGGTAGTGAGGAGCAAAGAGGAAGTTTGAAGAGGAAGATTCCTTACCAACTTCATAAAAACTTAGTACTCACTTTATCTGCAAGAATACTGCTTTGTCCATGGGCAATGTTGGCAAATGGTCCGGCATGCACGAACACAGGGGTCCCTTCGAGCGTTTGCATCAGATTTGGACGCACAGTGTCCCTCATGAGCACCTGTGAAAGTTAAGTAATGTTCTACCCATACAAGTACAGGCGTGAGCTTTTACCGTCAGGGCATCTGTGACGCCCGAGGTCATCAGCTGTGACTGCCTTTTCCATTTATGTCGGAACCAATCACAATTCTGCTTATCCGTTCTCGCATATCTTCAAGAGATGTGGTGAGCGCCAGAATAGCCATTATCTGAATCAGTAGGTACTGCTAACGATACAGTGCGACCAAGAATTAGGAGAATCAATTCGCAAACTTGAGAGTTTCGCTTTAAAATATACCAAAGTAGTCGCCATCGCAAGATACGTGAACCTTGTGGTGGCAATGCACTTGAATTCGCGTAAGGCATCTCCTTTTTGCTAAAAACGGGACTAAGCCATTGGCAAGGAAGGAGAGACTCAAGGATGCGTGGGCAATTTTCATTTACCTCGAAGTTCCTGTCTCCTCACCAGGCTTATTCCTATAGGATGCCTCCCGTACCGTTGCGATAGTCTTGAAAGTATTTCTGATCACATAATTTCCCATGCACTGTTCCTTACCTCGCTGGCGACGGTGATATCGAATTGGGTTCTTCTCGAGTGGCCTTTCTCTCCCGGTCCCAGTCCTATTTCAATTCCTGAAACAACATACTGTTTAAAATGCCATTTTTTAGCGCTTAACTATGGTATGGCAGAATGTCTCGATATGTTTTTTAGAAAGATGCGAAACTCTTAGTCAGCCCAGAAAAGGGAAATATTCATAGATTGTCGCAGCAATCGCGACTTGTTTCTCATTTTACAGTATTTTGCATTAGCCTCGATTTCCCAGATTTGTTGTCATGCTTTCGTAGAAATGTAATGCTTTTGCTTCAATGTTTCTCTTCGATGCGCAAACAATATATAAGCTTTTCATTGTAGCTTGCAGTGGTTTTTTGCCTCTGATACATTGCTTGGTAGTTGAGCACTTTGATCTCAATAAATTTTACCACTGAACCATCGTGAGAACAGTGTCTTACGATGGTTCAGTGGTGCGAAAATGGAACACGAAAGTAATTAATGTTCACAAGCTTTCTAAGGCGGGTTGTGTAATTGCTTCTTTGTAAGTGCGAGTTTCTATATTTGTTTCTCTTAAACCAAACGTGGCACTCGTCACTCCCACTTTTGTGCTTTTCAAGCGCCTAGCTAGGAAAGAATTGTTGAGTTATGGCTAGGGTATATATGAAAAGCTTGATGTGTTGTTGCCATTGTTGTTGTTTCCCACGACTGCCTTCTGCAGCGTTCAAATAAATAAATAAATAATAAATAAATAAAGCTTTATTTGATCTAAAGACTTAAAAATGAAAGCAAAGGAACGCAGAGAACGAGTGAGGATAAAAAAGTGGATTGCAGAAACAACGCACACATGTCTTTCTTATTGTATGGTGAACGATTACTTCAAAGAAGAGACAGTGATTTCGAAGGGGAAGAGCATATGAGAGAGCTAGAAAGACACAGATACACAAGCGCGCAGAGTGGGAAAATCTGCAGATGATCGCTTAACGATCATTAAAGCAACAGTCCAGGGAGGGTTTCAACTAATCCAAAGCTGAGGTGTGGAAGCATGCCCCAGCCCAAGTGAAGTCGAAAGGAACTGTCACTGAAGTAAAAACTCACCTCTGAAATGCGTGAGAAGGGCTCGAAGTTCGTCGAAAAGGGCGGGTCAACCGAGCCTCGGTTGACCCGCCTCCTTGCTGCTGTGAAGAGCGCTTGCTCGAATAGCGGTCGTTGCGGGACCGCCGCGCTGTATCAGGTCGATTCCATGAAGAACGCAACTTGAAGCGCTTCAATTTCGATTGCTGGCAAATAGTTATGTATTTGCAAGCATGCATGGCTATTTGCCAGCAGAGCAAATTGGAGCGCATGTACTACGGGCAGGTTCGGACAACTCGTCCAACACACGTCTCCCTAAACGGCAGGGGGAGTCCCTGTCTAAGCCCCTGCCCGACGTTTTTTTCTACTTTTTCTTTCTCCATTGACCAACTTCTCACCTGCAACGTCATTATAGGTGGTCCTTACCCGCGAATTCGTTCCTGGATTGTTGCTTTAAGAGCAGCCCTTCTCCTCTATCCCCAGCGAGGAACTTCACCGCCGGGAGGCGTCGACGATGAAATCTTCTATTTTTACTGTCGCTATATCATGCTCATGGGGGGGAGGATTGATCCCTTGGTTCGTAATGTCAATAGATGCTCTGTTGACCTTTAAAGGAGACGATAACGACAAGAGGAGCGCATCGGGAAGTAGGTGCGCCACACACGAAGCAGGAGCTTGGCTGCAAGGAAGCGAGTTGTGACGCTTTACACGACGAAAGGTGCGCTGGTTGCTGACGTTGAGCAGGGCTTCAAAAGCACCCTTCACTCCAGAAGCGATTGCCAGCTAGTTCGCCCTCAATTTCGAACGACTTTCGTGTTGCAAGCAGCGGCCCAACTGCGACGCTAAGTCGACTGAACCATGGTTTTGCATGATTCGAACCAACCCGAGTTGCGGTCGGAGTCGTCCCTCTTCCTGCCCGTCTTGGTCGCGCCCCATGCCCACTGAGCGGGAGATCCATAGGCCCCACACGGAGGGGGGTCTTTCTTTCATGTTTTCTTCCGCATGATTTCTCTACTATTGGCGTACCACTCCGAGTCGCCGACTTCTACGTCCCCTGTGAACTCCTATAGAACCTGTCGTAATCGCTGCCTTCAACCACTTGTCACACCGAACTAGGCTTCTGTTCAAAATATACTGCTGTGGAAAATGCCACTCCCCTCGAAGGAAACGATCATTCGTATCAATCACCGTCGATTCCAATGAATGTCTCAGGAGCGATGTTCGCCGGGCGCAACAGCTACTTGTACCGCGGACTCAACTGATTCGCGTCGTCAACGTCGGGAAGTCCCAAACGCTTGAGTCGCCGCTTTTGCACTGCTGATAGAGGGCGCTGACCTGAAATATAGTGTCTATATTATGGGTCTATATTATATGCCATTATAGGAAATGAGAGTAAGTTTATGAGGGGCAGAAATATGTGCAAGGGCCCACCAGCCGCATTCCTCAGCCATTCCCGTTGCGAGTCTTCACCCATGGGCGGCCATCTGAATCGTCAGTCGTAGGCTTCCCAGGTTACGGTTTAAACAATAGCAGCATTCTCTGGGCTCGAATGACGCCAGCTGAGAAAAGGAAGCAGTTATTTTAAACTTTTCTTTTGGCTTCTCTCTGCGTCAGAAATCGTACCGCTTCCGCCAATCTTTTCAATAATAAAAAGAGAATCGACATCCTCATTTGATTCTTCTACACCCCGGTGCATAATAGATTGCACCCTATAAAAAACATTAGTTTTTGAGAGAGGCCGAAACTTTTATTGATTCTGCTGTTGATATATTTCCTGGGGAAGTAGATAAATAATGTTGACACAATATTCAGTTAGACACAGTGTCTTTGAAAATTTTTAGAGTGAAATATTGATTTTTTTGGCGGTGCACAATAGATTGGACGACTTGAGATATTCAATTTTTCCAACGACCTTTTTCCTGCTTTTTAAGTTCGAATGTACTCACGTATTATGTGAAGTATACGCGTTTCATAAACGAAGCCTGGATTCGCACTGAAGCGTTACTTCTTCTTGGCAAGGGAAGTCTCCAAATCTCTAAAGAACCCTCCATTCCTAGGAATGCAGTTGCAACTGTGATCAAGAATCATTCTTAAACTGTTCTTGAGAACAAGATGGTTTGGAAGTCAACTGTTCCCGAGTGCGGCAGGCGCTGCTTGATTAATTTGGCATTGAGTTCCACAAAGGATTGCCTATGAATTGGCTGTCGCTTGCGGGATTGTCGTTTCGAAATGGACCGTGTCTCGTATGTTGAAAATATCGGACCACATAGTTCGACAATAAATAAAGCCAACACTACGCCTGACTCAATACCATCGACATAAGCGGCTCCCTCTTGCGAGGGATGAGGATTGCAGAGATTGGGCAGCGGAGTGTTCTGGGCATATTTCCAGCTTTATGTTAAATTCAAATTTCTCATTTCTATTTTTCCTACGGTAATTTCTTTCGATGACATTTTGTTCGGCGGAGGTGAGTAGTGTTAACGGCACTCGAACTGGCGCTCTTGCAGAAGTGAACCAGTACTGGTGCTCGAAGCAACATCTGGCATTCTCCTGAATGGTTTGGTGGGCATCCTCTAGTGATGGTAGCCTTGAGATTCATTTTGATTCTTGTGAATGAGAAGCCAGAACTATCAGTCACTCTCAACAACACGCTGGTACCATTCGTTTCTTGAGACTTCAAAAAGCACTTCATCTTCGTGCAAAAGAACGCTTCGAACCTAACTTCGTGAAGCACTCTGTCCCACTTTCAATCTAATACCAACCCATTATTTTCTTCGCCGGCATGTAATCCTGATACAAACCTATCGGGAATACATAGGGTATACTGATGCGTAAGATCTACTGAAATGGGACAGCGTATGACAATGTTCAACCGCTAAGAAAAGGCATTACAAAGGAGTGGAAAACTCTACCGCCTCTGCTGCTTAGAATGCGCTGATTTAAAATCTGATTCCAGCCCTAAGCTCACTGAGAAGAAGGACCCTTGCCTCATACTTAGATGGGAGGAGCAGACTTTACGGTCTTGTTTTTGATCCACAATACATATCGTCCAATCTATTATGCACCGGCTCAAAAAGTGAAAAATTGTTGTCACAAACTTTGACAAAGTCGTAATGTCAAATAAATATCACAGATATTATTCCTTCGTCTATTTTTCTAAACTATAGTGTAGGCAGAAGCAACAAAAGTTTCCGGCTCTCAAGAAAATTAAGGTTTTCTATGGGGTGCAATCTATTGTGCACCGCGGTGTATTGTTCACGTACTGATGCAACCATTTGTGGGCGGATGGAGGGGGAGAGGGAAGGAACCGAAAAGAGCATCCTGGAAGGGCGCCTACATTTTTGGACACTCTTTACGCTGCGATCAAATCATTGCGAATAAAGATTTCATTTGTGAGTATTTGCAGGGAGGTGCGAGCATTTAGAACAATAAATGATAAAATAAATAAGCTGTCAATGTGTGGCAAAAATGGAATGAGTGAGGTGAAGAGTCATGCCACTTGTCGCACAAAAAGCTCCGTTAGAACACCAACGAGACTTCTACTGCAATCCCAAATTGCTCCCAGTTTTCACAATTAGTAGTTGGTCCGCTCAATGAATTGAGCGACGACTGGAAGGAAGGGGCTGGAGCAAGAAAATCCTGTAGTTGTGGGTCAGTGTTGTTCCTAACCTAAAAATATTGTACAGAAGAGCGTTGGCCTTGACTCGTTCGAATCCTCTGGAGTGCGCGTGGCGTTTCTAACGTCAGCGCTCAGGCTTTCATCGTTTTCATCTCTTCATTAGCACGTAGAGGGAGTTTTAGCTTACGTTAATGCTGTTGTTTCAAGTTCGTTTCACCACACAGACCCATCAGCGGCCCTCTTATATGTGGTACTAAATTAAGTCCTGTGAAGTTCAAGCACACCCCAGCAGGAGGCGTGTCAAGAATCTGTTCTTGTGGAATAGCGCTGCATCACCAGATGCGCGACGCCATGGTGCTCCAGAGTCTTAGCAGAGTCAGCCTTGGTGACATTGTTTTAAGCATTGGACGAGTTACGTCGCGCATCCCCATGACACACAACGTATATGACGGCTTAGCAGCTAACTCAAATACGTGCGAGTTAGTTGAGCCGTGGAGCTGGTAAGCACGATGTTTTGCCGGCTTCGCCTCACCCTTATTTTGAAGGGAATCCTTGTTAGGGCTTCATCGACGGTTTTCTTTGCTTTTTTCAATTTTTAGACAGCTCGGCATCCACAACTAAATCATCGACCGCTGTGACCACGCAAGTTCGATGTGAAGGTGTTGCACGACCCCTGATTTCTCTGGACCTCAGACCTCATAACGAAATTATACGAGTAACATCATAAAGGATAAAAAGGATAAAGCATTTGCCGTTGATCAATCCCTTTTTGGGATGCGGCACGCATTCTACTTCCATTTGTACATTCGTAGTGGCGTTTGAATGCGATGTGGCCTATACAATGACTTGCGGGGCCAGCCGATGTACAAGTCAGTGTTTTTATCCTCCCAGACAAGTCTGGTACCAATTAACCGACCCCGGGATGGAAGGCTTGGTTGGCCCGGGCGACTCACGACCCAGGATTTATTCCCCCTCGACCCCGCTCGCCGTGTACGCGTCACGATTTTCCTTGCCACTCCACTTCCGCTCACCAGAATATTGTAATTGTAATTGTAATTGTAATTGTTTATTGCATAGACTGAAGCCTATGCGGTACAAGTAGAATTAGATAACCAACTCAACAGTCCTACAAACAACGAAAGAAAAAAACTAATTAAGCAATCTAATAGATATACAATAACTACGAAAAATAACCTCTACGACGCAAGATACTTTTCCAGAGCGACTTTGAATGAGTTTAGTTTACTCGTGACGACTCCTAATCGAAGCAGTCTGTTGAACTCTGAGCAAGTCCTGTTCACAAAAAAGTGGTGCCTGATACTATGTTTAGCTCGACGAACGGACGTTTTCATAGAGATACCCCTTGTTCTTGACTCACTAATTGATAAAAAGCTGCTAGATTTGATCCTAGAGTAGCCGTGGAATATCTTAAAGCACGTTATCAAGTCGAATTTTTTTCTTCTAGACGCTAGGGTCTCAAGATCAAGGTTAGCGTTGCGCACTCTACTACTGGGTATTTGATCATAACGGAAGCCGACTACCCTGACAAAAATTTTCCTTGTGAAACTATTTTGAACTCTTTCTATAGCTTGAATAACTTTTATTTTGTGAGGATTGAACACCACTGTGCCATACTCTAACAACGGCCTAATGTATGTTTTGAAGGCCCTGAGAAGCACCCGGGAATCCCTTGTCGACAGAGCTCTGAACAAGTTGAACATCATTGCCATGGCTTTGGCAACGATCTTCGAGCAGTGATCGTCAAAACTGAGATCACTTCGAATATGGAAGCCAAGGTCTCTAATATCCTTGACACTTTCTAATTGGACCCCACCTATCGAATAGGAGGATGCAACAGCAACTTTTCCCAAATGAAGAACCTTGGACTTATTAATCGATATAGGCAATTTCCACTGTACGGCCCAGTTGTTAACATCATTGATAGCTTTTTGTAACAATTCCTTGTCCAAGTCAGATGACACTGGATGATACAATTTAAAGTCATCCGCGAAAGCAACACATTTCACCCCTCTAGTAATGACTAAAGATGGTAGCTCGAAAGTGAATATATTGAAAAGGATGGGTGACAGTACACCACCTTGTGGTACCCCACTATACACCGGTCTGGGCTCAGAAAACGCTGTCTTGACACGAATTGCGAAGGTCCTATTCGTAAGGAAGGCTTCAATCCAAGCTGTTATCCTCGGATGAATACCAACCATGATAAGCTTGGAGATAAGCTTCTGATGGGAAACTTTGTCGAATGCTTTTTCAAAATCCAAGTAAATCACGTCCAGCCCTATGCCATTATCAATGTAAGATGTCCAGTCATTGAGAGATTGTAACATAGCAGTTACAGTGGATTTACCCTTTTGAAAGCCGTGTTGGTCATCCGAGATAATGTTGTACTCATCCAGGTGCATCACAATCCTCTTCTTCATGATTTTTTCAAATAATCTAGCGAAGATCGATGTTATGCTTACAGGTCTGTAATTGCTCGGGGATGAGTGAGGCATCCTTTTCGGAATGGGAGTTACGAAAGAAAGCCGCCACCTATCTGGCACCTCGGCGCGCATAAAACTCAAATTAAAGATGAACGCGAGTGGACCAGAGATTATGTGTGCTACCTTCTTAATGAAGCTGAGAGGAATATGGTCAGGTGTGTCCGAGTGAGAATTCGGCCATCTGACTAGTAACCTGCAGATTTCTTCGTGATGGAACCAGACCGAATCCCTCATAACGGGAAAAACAGGAGCTACGTCTAAATCTCTGGAGTCCTCATCTCTTTGATGTACTTTCTCAAAAACCCTCGCAAAAAGCTCTGCTATATCTTTTTCATTCCTTATGACATTACCGTCATCATCAAGCAATGCACCGAGACTCTGTCCCTTTTTGAGCTTGGAATTGAGAAACCTATAGAAAGCGTTTTTGTTCCTGGAGTAGATTACTTTTTTCTCAATGTGGCCATAAAACTTGGTCAATTTTTTATCGAAAGCGCTTCTCAGCATTTTGTATTTTTCCCAATCGCCCGGATTGCCCCCACTCAACGCCTTATTCCATGCAATACTTTTTTTGCGGTTTAGCCTGACCAAGTGTGGCGGGAGTTCCATCTCACTAGTCTTGCGCATTTTAACAGGAACAAATACATCAATAGTATGATGGAGTATGCCCAAGAACAATTCATATTTCTCATTAATCGTGTCAGCACAATTCAAGGATCCATACCAGTCAACTTGACTGAGATATTCATTGATCGCATCAAAATTTGCTTTCTTAAAGTCCCTTACAAACACTTCTCTTACATCCTTCTTGACCTCAAGCTCAAGTGTGAAGACGATGGAAGCATGATCACTATTCCCAACCTATTATATTAGAACATATGAAAGTTATTTTTCCACTAGCAAAGTCTGAACGTCGAAGCATCCCAGTATTTTAACGTAATGAATGGCTATACCATCTAGAGTCTAACCTTGCTTATTAGCCGGACATAGTGTGCTTCAAAGTCTGAACGTCGAAGCACTTCAGTATTTTAATGTAATGAATGGTTACACCACCCGGAATCGAACCTTGCTTGTTAGCGGGACATAAACGATTGAAAAGGGCGTCATCCTTCTGAGTGCTTTCATGGAACATTCGTGCATCGATAGCAGCTGCTAAAAGATTGTTGGCAGCAGTGATAGCATGGATGTCGCCAGTTAAATGCAAATTGAACTCTTCCATCGGTATCACCTGCAAAGGTTGCTCATTTACTTATACTTTTGATCCGTCAAAGGGCAAGCACCTGAGCGTATCCTCCTCCAGCTGCTCCTCCTTTGATGCCAAACGTTGGACCTTGTGACGGTTGTCGAACACATGCGAAAGAATTCTTGTGAAGATGGGCCGTCAAGGCCTGCACGATTCCCATCGTCGTAGTTGATTTTCCCTCGCCCAACGGTGTGGGTGTGATACCTAAATTCAGACTCACTGGGAAATCAATAACTGATCCGAAAATAATTTCAAGCCTCCATAGGTGAAAATTTTCCGTGTTCGAATTTTTGATTACACCTCGGAATACTAGTGGTACCGTGCATGTACAACCCCATGCTGAACTTCCTTAGGACAGGAGCACCCCTTTGGGAACAGAGTTGGGTCCCTTAACGAGCTTCTATCCTAGTTCTCTTACCAGCGTGTTTTCGCGTGTTTTCTCCTCACTTCCCCCTTCCGTCACTACTTCCTTCTCCATATTCTCACATACTTTTTGTTAACACTTGTACATGAGCCATTAAACGTTTATAAGTTGTTACTGCGTCTAAAAATGAAGCCGGTTGTGCTGATTGGTGCACCATCGATGGAAAGAAACAAAAAAACTAGTTGAACCCTTATAATCGGTTACTCGACAGGATGCCCGTCGCTCGGCGTGAAGGTGGAGACGCAGGCAGGTCGACGGATGAGTCGCAGCGCGCATTGTGCGATGTGGGACGTACATCCTATTTGATTTGACGCTGAATCGCTACAAGCTACGGGCCTCCTGTCGGGTACCCGGTTAGAATCACACAGCGCACTGATCGTGCAGGAGGGATTTGCGCTCATCCCTTGTAAGGCTCTCATTAGCCGGTCCCAATACCTTTGATAGACTATGCTGTATGTTTTCACATCGGAGAAACCAATGAGACTCTCGTAGGAGCGGACGAGCAGTGCGCTATGTGACCTTGAAGATTCTCAACAGTGTTCCACTTTCCCTTCATTACTCTCAGATCAATTGTCCCTATTATGCCAATTTTTGAGCGCCATAACCCGACCTACTAAAGATGGGATGTGCCCTCAAAGGAGAGTACGATATCTCAAGCAATGATAGCCACACTTCAGCAACTTACCAGCAACTACGACGTATTTTCCGTCCTTCACATGTTTTAATCTTCGCAGAACATCCAACGATACCTTGGCTTTTTTCCTTCCATAGGGATCGAGTTCTTCATGCAGAATGCCCACCTCTTGAGCTAACTGCA